TGGTAAACGGAGTAAACAAAATGAAGGCAGGGATGGAAAACTGGTGTAAACGGATGAAAAACAGATGAAAACAGATGAAAAACATAAATAAATGGAATAGATAAAGGAAATGATTGGAAATGTACAAAAAGAATAAGCACGGATGAAAAACTGATGTAAACGGAAGAAAAACTGATGTAAATGGATGAAAAACGGATGAAAACCAAATGATAAACTGATTCGAAACGGTTGAAAAAAAAAGATGAAAAACTAATTGTCATAAGGATTCCCAAAACGGAATACACAAAAAGGATGTCCACTTAGCGATTAAAACAGATGAAAAATGAACGGAATAAAAAACAATGAATTATAATGGATGTACAAATGAATTGAAAAAAAACGGATGTCTCAACCTCAAACCGTTTTTTCTTTGATTGAACTGAAAAAAAAAAAAACGGAGACCGCCCTTGTGAAAGGACCCACTTTTTTTCTTCTGCTTTTGCATTTAAAAAAGCAGAAGAAAAATAGTGAGAGACCATCTGTAGGTAACCTGTTCACTAACTATCAGCGTGTCAATTTTGCGGTTCAGGTGAGGCAACCTTTTTATAAAATGCCGTGCAGCATTTTTTGGGGCAGATTTGTTGTCCATAAAAAAACATGCACCAAAACCCGCACCTCCCCATTGAAATCAATGGAAAATGCAACAAAAAAAGTAATAAAAATGCATCAAAAACACACCCGCGGTGCGTTTTTGTTTCACATGACCCTCCCCCCCTGTAAAAATCTTGATAAAACAACGGTACAAATGTGGTAAAGATGCAGTAAACATGCCTACATGTTTTTGTCGTGTTTTTGCTAGGATCAGTGTAAAAGTAGCCTAACACTAACCTCTCCCCAGGTTGACAATGCTGTGTTCACTTTGTCTGTGTCTTGCCTGTGTCTTTGTCACAATCTCCAGATACAGAAATAAAGGAAAAAAAGCCTAGAAAAAAGAAAACTAATTCAGCCGCCATGTTTAAAGTGGGTGGTAGTAACAAATGGAATCCGGAATGACACAGGCAGGGATTATTTAGAAAAGAAGAAAGACCCTACAAAGGTCTCTCCTGTCATAAATGCCTGATATCACCTCAAACCGAGTCACCCCCCACCTGCCAGTGGGTAATGTGCAGCTGAGCCACACACATGCGTGGGGGATTCACAGTGGCACATGGGCAGCACAGTGGCTTAATGATTAGCACATTACTAATAACCTGGGCATTACTCGGGTCATTGATATTCAAATACCAAAACAAGGCTACCATACCTGGAGCATTTATTTGCAATGTTACTAAAACCCTGTGCCTGCGTGGGGTTTTCTCTAAATAAGGGATTGGGTTCTCCAGTTTCCCTCCCCCACACTCAAACCAAAGACTAATGCTGGTAGGTTAACCTCTCTAGCGGTATGAACATTATTATCAGATTTTTGGTGCTGAAATAGCGGTACTTTTTTTGCATGGAAATAAGTTGTATTTTTTTATTATATCAGGCTGTAATTTTTAGGAATAACTCACTGAAATCTGTCCGAACAAGAGTCTGGTAAACATCCCGGGTATGATAAAATTTGAAACACGAAATCATAAATTATAATTTAATAAATAATCATAAAAAATAATAATATAAATAATAAATGTAATTCAATAATATAATCAAAACCAAAAACACTGAAATTTGAAATATAGCGCCAAGTTCGCACATCACTGAGCAAAGTCTCAGAATCGTTTTCAGTGTCTGATGACGAATTTCCCCCACGAATCATTATTATCACTCCATTCTGCAAGTGGTTCTGATTTACTATCGCTGTTCTCTAGCCGGTCTACAAACCGCTTTTGACCTTAAAGGGACGCTTTTTGGACGCCATGGACGTTTCTCAGTTTCCAGGCAAAAAGAACAGACAAAATGCAGGCAGGGCGCAGGACAAAAGCACTCGGGACAAAATGTATGTGAAATGGTTTGAAACAGCAATGTTTTACTTTGTAAAATTTGTTTGGAAAAAAATGACATTTTTAAAAATTTTTAAATTTCCCTCCGACGGCGGCGCCCGTTACGTCCCAACATCACAGGGACCAGAACACAGAAGCCGGATGCCGGCATCAGCCGGAGGAGATGGCCGGGGACACTGCAGGGGACACATCGCGGGGGGAGCGAAGGACAAGGTAAGCTCTGCAGGGACTCCCTATGCAGCGCCGCATGGTAACCCCGAGTGTAGCTCGGGGTTACCGCTTTTTGGTATTGATATTTTACCCCGAGCTACACTCGGGAATACTGCCAGGGAGGTGAATTGGCTCCTGTCCAAATTGTCCCTAGTATGTGTATGTATGAATGTGAGTTAGGGACCTTAGATTGTACACCCCTTGAGGGTTAGGGACTGATGTGAATGTACAATCATTATTATTATACAGGATTTATATGGCGCCAACAGTTTGCTCAGCACTTTACAATATAAGGGAGATAGTACAATTACAATACATTTCAGTACAGAAGGAATAGGGAGGGCCTTGCTCAAGGAGCTTACAATCTAAAAGATATATATACAGTACATACACAGGCGTACCTCGGTTTACGAACGCCTCTGTTAACGTAATTTTCCATTTCCGAATAAAAATCTAATGAAAAATAACGGCTCGGTTTACGAATTTTTTACTAAATTTGTTTCACAATACAAGTGTATGTCGGTGCCAATATTTTTAAATGTATTAATTACCACCAGGCTTTCTTTTTTTTTTGCACTATAGCTCACAGAATTAGCTGTCACTTTCCCGGGAGCTAAAGGAAACTTTGTTTATTTTAAGAAACTAAAAGGAAACATTGTTTCTTTTAACTTGGTGAAAAGTGACAGCTGATTCTCTGAGCTATAGTGAAGATAAAAAAAAAAAGCCGGTAATTACATTTAAAAACCGGCACTGACCTATAGTGACAGTGACTTTTTTTTTACTTTTTTTCTGACCTCCAGATGGAATAATTGGTTTTCATGCATTCCTATGGGAAACCAAGTTTCGGTTTACGCAAATTTTTCGCTATACGAAACGTCCCGGAGAACGCATTAAATTTGTAAACCGAGGTACACCTATATATATATATATAAAGCATAAATTGATGGCGCTATATAAGTACCATGGCATTGTGGCTCCTGTGTGCATGCATGGGAGTGACGTCACCGCTGCACGGCCAAAGATTCTGAAACCCTAGATAGAGGACCAGGTGAAGGTGGAAGTGCTGGGGAGCTGGGACAGCACTACACTGGAGGGTTCCATAGGTAGTCTTGTAGGCAAGTCTGTCTTAATGTACTATGACTTAAACCTGTAGGGGGCCTATTTTTATTGAGACTTTACTACCACTTTAAGGATTGGAAATCTGCAGTATATTTATTGCCCGAGGTCGGGGTCAGTAGGGGGCCCCATGACATGCCCCTGGTACCTTTTTCATAGGCTTTTTTGAGTTTGGCCAAGGACACAGGGGCCCCATGATCCCCTATTGCCCGGGGCCCCATGAGTTGTCAGTCCACCCCTGCTTACTATATGTGAAATCTGTGAATGATCACAGAGGTCACATGGTACAAGGCTATTCACACAGCCTTGTACCATGTGACAATCTGTGACCAAATCACAGCTCTCACAGTATTTCTCAATGACTGCAAGAATGTAGCCAGAGAGAAGGAGAAATGATTGCTTTTCCAGCCTTTATGGGTGTAACAGCAATCAGTGTAAAAAAAGTGCTAAACGAAAAAAAAAATCTCCATCATCCCCCACAAGTAGTACAGAGTCACTATGGTGACAGTATGTTAAAAAAAAAAACATAAATAAATATATAAAAATAAAAATGTAAAAAAAAAAAATTTTTTAAATGATAATTTTTCATTATAAACTAATTTGAGTTATTTTTTTTTACTAAAAAGATAGATGAATACATTTTGGCCAAGATTTATGAAGAAAGATTATTTATTTGCAAACTTTTATAAAAAAAACACTTTTTTTTTCAAACTTTTTGGACTTTTTCATTTATATAGCAAAAAAAATAAAAATCACAGTGGTGATTAAATACCACCAAAATAAAGTTTTATCTGTCTCAAAAAAATGCTAAAAAATTCATATGTGTCCAGTGTTGCATGACCGCACAATTGTCATTCAAAGTGTGATAGCGCTGAAAGCTGAAAATTGGCCTGGATAGGAAGGGGGTGAAAGTGTCCAGACTGGACGTGGTTAAAATACAGCCACTTACCTGTCCCTCGATCCAGCGGTGTCATCACCATGGCTGGTTTCACTGGCCATCTTCTTCTCTCCCCAGCGCCGGCATTTTTAGTATGGGCACCTGGCTTTGACAGCTTGCGGCTTCACAGCCAGGTGCCCATTGCGCATGCGCAAGAAACACTGCGCTTTGTGAATGGCCCCGTAGTCTTCTGGGACTGGTCACACGGACTACGGGGGGGGGGGGGACGACAACTTCAGCTTCCGATCACTTAGGTGATCGCAGCGGAAGTGAGAGTGGGTACCTGTCAAATTCGGGTACCCGCTCCTCAAAGGTGCCAATCCTTAACCACCTTCCGCCCGCCATATAGTACAATGACGGCCGCAAGGTGGTTCTCTCTCTCGTTCTGATAGGACGTCATATGACGTCCTTCCATTCTCACGGTTCTCACCATTCTCAGGGAGCGCGCAGCGCGGCGATCGCCGGTACGCTGTGTCCCTCGTCACAGCGGATCACGGATCACGAAAAGAGCCGAAGATGTCAGCTCGGTCATGTGATCAGCTGTGTCCAATCACAGCTGATCACATGTAAACACGAAAATGCTGGTTATCGGCCTTTTCTCTCCTCTCGAGCTGTCACGCTGACAGAGGAGAGGAGAGCCGGTAATCGGCTTTACGCTGAGGGGACATGTACACTGATCATCAGGGCACTGATGATCAGTGTGCCCTGATGATCAGTGTGGCCCCAGAAGTGCCACCTGTCAGTGTCCATCAGTGCCAGCAGTCAGTGCTCATCAGTGCCACGTGCCAGTTCCTATCAGTGCCACATCATGCCACATATCAGTGCCCATCTGAGCTGCCTTTCAATGTCACCCATCAGTGCCAGTCAGTGCCACCTATCAATGCCAAATCAAGTGCCACCTATCAGTGCTGCCAATCAGTGCGACCTATCAGTGCCAGTCAGTGTCTCCTATCAGTGCGCATCAGTGCCGCCTATCAGTGCCAGTCAGTGCCGCCTATCAGTGCCAGTCAGTGCCGCCTAACAGTGCCAGTCAGTGTCGCCTATCAATGCCAGTCAGTGCTGCCTATCAGTGCCAGTCAGTGTCGCCTATCAATGCCAGTCAGTGCTGCCTATCAGTGCTAGTCAGTGTCGCCTATCAATGCCAGTCAGTGCTGCCTATCAGTGCCACCTATCAGTGCCATATATCAGTGTCATGTATCAGTGTTGCCTTTCAGTGCCCATCAGTGATGCCTGTCAATGCCCATCAGTGCCACCTACCAGTGCCTCCTCATCAGTGCCACCTATCAGTGTCCATCAGTGCAGCCTATCAGTGCCCATCACTTCAGTCTCATTAGCGCACATCAGTGAAGGAGAAAAATCACTTATTTACAAAATTGTATAACAAAAACTAAGAAAAAACTTTTTTTTCAAAATTTTCAGTGGTTTTTGGTTTGTTTAAGAAAAAATAAAAGTCCCAGAGGTGATTAAATATCACCAAAAGAAAGCTCTGTCTCAAAAAAATGATAAAAATGTCATATGGGTACAGTGTTGCATGACCGCGCAATTGTCATTCAAAGTGTGACAGTGCTGAAAGCTGGAAATTGGCCTGGGCAGGGAAGGGGGTATAAGTGCCCTGTAGGCAAGTGGTTAATGGGGAGTGGGGGACAAAGACTTAAAGCGGAACTTCCCCTTTTGGGTGGAACTCCGCTTTAAACTCACTTAGTGCCTTATCTGCATTAAATCAGCCTCAGAACCTGTGTCATTAATATGTGTTCGGGTTTAAAGGGATGAGGTGGCAACCCTCGCCAATGTACATTTCCTGACCTTACTCACACTCTCTGCCACTGAACTAACACTGAACTAACTAGGCAACACGCATTTTCTACCACACATTGCATTCAGAGTCAGCAAACCTTCCTTGAGCTTGGTTTTGTGGTTTTATGAAAATGTTACAAAACCCACACCAGTACAATCAGTCTGTAGATGCAGTAAAGCATGCTTGTTATACTCACTGTGGAACCTAAGGGGTTAATCCTCTGCATTGTGTAAAAACGCTGTTTGATCCTTTGTTCTCTGATCCTCCCCTTCTTCCAATGTCCCCCTCTTATCTCCTGATAACACATATCATGTGGAGTCACTCTGCACTATGCTCAGTTTGGTGTGTATTGCTAAAAAAAGGTTTTTTTTCTTGGGATGTGATCAGCATAGGGCCAATCAGCACTGTGCAGACAGAGGTCAGGGGTTCTGCATCCTCCTAGAGCAGAATAAAAACTCCTCCTACAAGCTTTAACCAGTGCTCTGCTGGACACTGATAGAAGTCACAAGACTGCTCTAACTGCTGATGAGAAAAGGTATTTAGCAGTTTATATTTACTAAAATAATTGCATTTCCATGTTGTTTGTACTGTGGGAGACCAGATATAGTGAATGCAGGGTCCGGGGAGAGCAGATTTAGGGAATGCAGGGTCCGGAGAGACTGGATATAGTGAATGCAGGGTCCGGGGAGACCGGATATAGTGAATGCAGGGTCCAGGGAGACCGGATATAGTGAATGCAGGGTCCGGGGAGAGCGGATATAGTGAATGCGGGGTCCGGGGAGACCGGATACAGTGAATGCAGGGTCCGGGGAGAGCGGATATAGTGAATGCAGGGTCCGGGGAGAGCGGATATAGTGAATGCGGGGTCCGGGGAGACCAGATATAGTGAATGCAGGGTCCGGGGAGACCGGATATAGTAAATGCAGGGTCCGCGGGAGACCGGATATAGTGAATGCAGGGTCCGGGGAGAGCGGATATAGTGAATGCGGGGTCCGGGGAGACCGGATATAGTGATTGCAGGGTCCGGGGGAGACCGGATATAGTGAATGCAGGGTCCGGGGAGAGCAGATTTAGGGAATGCAGGGTCCGGGGAGACCGGATATAGTGAATGCAGGGTCCGGGGAGAGCGGATATAGTGAATGCAGGTCCGGGGAGAGCAGATTTAGGGAATGCAGGGTCCGGGGAGACCGGATATAGTGAATGCAGGGTCCGGGGAGACCAGATATAGTGAATGCAGGGTCCGAGGAGACCGGATATAGTGAATGCAGGGTCCGGGGAGAGCGGATATAGGGAATGCAGGGTCCGGGGAGACCGGATATAGTGAATGCAGGGTTTGGGCTTTAGTAACACTTTAAGGGGTTGATAACTTGGGGGGGGTTAAGGGGTGTGTGGGATGCCCAAGGAACTGTAGAAATTTGGGGACAAACTCCTTAGCTTAACCACTTGAGCTCCTGAGGATTTACCCCCCTTAATGACCAGGCCTCTTTTTGCTACTCGGCGCTGCACTAATTCAACTGATAATTGCGCGGTCATGCAATGCTGCACCCAAACAAAATTTATGTCCTTTTTTCACACAAATAGAGCTTTCTTTCAGTGTAATTTGATCACCTGTGCGCTTTTTATTTTTCACGCTATAGTTATAGTGTCTACAAACTATGGTATAAATACTGCAATTTACACCATTTTTCTGTTATACAGCGCTGCGCTAGTTTAACGGACAATTGCACGGTCATGCAAAATGGTACATAAATGAAATTTACATCCTTTTTTTCCCACAAATTGAGCTTTCTTTTGGTGGTATTTGATCGCCTGTGCTGGGTTTTTTTTTTTTTGCGCTATAAAAAAAAAGGCTGACAATTTTGTAGATAAAAAAAACAATATTTTGGACTTTTTGCTATAAAACATGTCCAGTAAAAAAAAAATGCAAAAATCAAATTTAGTCATAAATTTCTGCCAAAATGCATTCTGCGACATGTCTTTTGCTAAAAAAAAACAAATACGTGTAAATTAATTGGTTTACGTGAAAGTTACAGCGTTTACAAATGGCGGGAAAGATACTGGGATTTTTAGGGTTTTTTTTTATACTAATAATGGCGGCGATCAGTGACTTATGGCAGCGACCAGCGACTTATGGCGGGACTGCGGAACTGCGGTGGACATTCTGACATTGGGGGGGTACTGACTTGGGGTCATTGACATCCCCAAAAACACTAAACAGTGATCAGTGAAAAAAAAAAAAAACTGACACTGTACTAATGGCAATGGGGAGGAAGGGGTTAACTTTATTTAGCAGGGAAGGGTTATAGGAGTGAGGGGAGTGTGTTTACTAGGGGGCGGGGGTGTGTACTGGGCGGGACAAGGCTGATCGAGAAAGTGAAACTATTCTTTCTCGATCAGCTCATCCTCGAGCTGACAGAGAGGTGACAGACAGCACAGCTACTGCAGCTGTGCTGTCTGTCACTGTTTGCCGCCGATCGCCGGGACATAGCCGCTAACGAGCGGCTGTGACCCGGCAACTGACATCTGCGGCGGTGATCCACAGGACAAATAGGGCGGCAGCGCGCCTCGCCGCGCGCCCCCTATTTGTTTACAAAACACACGTTTTAAAACGTGGTTTTGCCTGTGAGTGCCGCCCTGCCGCCGTATATGTACAGTGGCTGGGCGGCATGCGGTTAACTATGTACAGATGTGGATAAAAAGAATGAAAGTATCTCCTCTGAAGAGCTCTCCAGCCCTAGTAAAAAGGTTTGGTCCGGGCATGTAGGCCCTTTACAGAATAATCTAGAGTGGGTGACTGGGGACAAAGCAAAGGTAAATTTATTAAATACCTTATTCAGCTCTGTGTATACAAAGGAGCATGGGGGGGCTCTTGTCCATAATGGGCATGGTATTGACACAGCTCCAGATGATCCACATTGGCTCACAATTGAAATGATCCAAAAATATTTAGACAGAATAAAGGTGAATAAAGCCCCTGGACCGGATGGCATACACCCACGGGGCCTTAAAGAATTGAGCTCTGTCATTTCAAAGCCATTGTTTCTAATTTTTAGGGACTCTTTAATGACTGGCATAGTACCACTGGATTGGCGTAAGGCCAATGTGGGGCCAATATTTAAAAAGGGGTCAAAATCTTTACCAAATAATTATAGACCTGTTAGTGTAACTTCTATAGATGGGATGATACTGGAGATAATAAAAAGATCACATAGATGAGTTCTTGCTGGAAAAAAAATATTTTAACAGACAGCATAGATTCATGAAAGACAGACGTTGTCAAAACAAATCTGATTTCTTTTTATGAGGAGGTGAGCAAAACCTCGGACAGAGGAGTGGCAGTGGACGTGGTATACTTGGACAGAGCGGTCACGGTGGACGTGGTATACTTGGACAGAGGGGTGGACGTGGTATACTTGGACAGAGGAATGGCGGTGGACGTGGTATACTTGGACAGGGGATGGCGGTGGACGTGGTATACTTGGACAGAGGGATGGCGGTGGACGTGGTATACTTGGACAGAGGGATGGCGGTGGACGTGGTATACTTGGACAGAGGGTTGACGGTGGACGTGGTATACTTGGACAGAGGGGTGGAGGTGGACGTGGTATACTTGGACAGAGGGATGGCAGTGGACGTGGTATAATTGGACAGAGGGGTGGCGGTGGACGTGGTATACTTCAACAGAGGTTAATGATTCATACTCTGAATGGTCTAAGGTTGTCAGTGGGGTACCCCAAGGTTCAGTGTTGGGACCCTTACTTTTTAATATATTTATAAACAATACAGTATAGGGTCTGGGATTATAAATCCCATTTCAGTCTTTGCAGATGACACCAAGCTGTGCCGGGAATAACGCCCATACAGGATGTCTCCAACTTACAAGCCGACCTCAATGCTCTGTGTAATTGCGCAACTATGTGGCAAATGAGGTTTAATCAGGGGTGGACTGACAACTCATGGGGCCCCCGGGCAATAGGGGATCATGGGCCCTTGTGTCCTTGCCCAAACTCAAAAAAGCCTATGAAAAAGGTACCAGGGGCATTAAGGGGGATATGATCTCCATGTATAATACATAAGGGGGGGATATGATCTCCATGTATAATACATAAGGGGGGATATGATCTCCATGTATAATACATAAGGGGGGATATGATCTCCATGTATAATACATAAGGGGGATATGATCTCCATGTATAATACATAAGGGGGATATGATCTCCATGTATAATACATAAGGGGGGATATGATCTCCATGTATAATACATAAGGGGGGGATATGATCTCCATGTATAATACATAAGGGGGGATATGATCTCCATGTATAATACATAAGGGGGGATATGATCTCCATGTATAATACATAAGGGGGGATATGATCTCCA